ATGAAAATCACTGTCGACAACTTTACCGTTTCGGTTCCATTTTTTCTTTTGTGACATAATTTGTTGAGATCGCTTTCTTCCTTTTCAGGTACCTGAACCTCTCCTGGAGTTTAACAATTAGTTATATCTTGAAACTCTTTAAGAGTACATGCCTCCTCAATATAACTTCTAAGTTGTATGCTCCTTTTTATTCAATAGATTTATATTGGACCTGATTAACCTCTCATGCTTCAGACATATCTCATTTCTATCTATACTAATTTGAGCATTTTCAGTTGGAATAAGAGATTTAAAAATTTTCATTCAGGTCAGTAAAATATTTTGTAGCATTTCATGAATGCAATTTTGATGAACTTCTGATCCATACTGATATATTTGATGATCTATATTTGATAGTAATAATGTATTCAATGCGTTCTCTTTTCCAACTACTCAATTTCTTCTCCTCATATTAGAAAAATTTTGTCGAATAACAATCAACTAATTATGCAATATAAGTCTCCTAAATCCATTTGCTTCTTTTAGGAATATTGTTTTGTTCCATTTAGAGACAAACAAGAGGAATGAGGTTCTTATCCAACATATGTCCGAACTTTCTTTTAATATCCATCTATATGCATTGTGGTGAATTGGTAGGAATAAATATTACACATTTTAATTTTTTAGATAAAAAATATCTGGCTCTTGACCAAAAGCCAATTTTATTGGGAGAATTTTATTGCCTTGATATCTATAAGTGCTGCAATATATTAAATCAAATATGCCAACACTAAAATGGAAAAATTTGTTCTCATAAATATTGATCAAGCTATTCATGGAGGTATTAACAAATGATTTTGCTAGATCAATTTGTTAAGCAGGCTTTTTAACATTAAAAGCCTGATATATAAATTCACTAGCATCTTTAAAATCAAGTTATGGGAATCACATAGTCGAAAATATTTATCTAAATAATGTTGCAAACTTCATGTTGCAAATTAATGTCAATCACACATCTTACCATTTTATATAAGTGCATCTATCAAACATTGAATGCTTGTATGGCTTATGTGCTTTTAAATGGGCCCATATATATTTCCAGAAATGCAGTGATCCATTCAAAAACAAAAATAACTGGTGATATTTTATAATCAATTTTCTTTGAGAACAAGCAGCACATACGAATTCTTAAAAATGTTAGCTATTCGAAAGAATCTTCTGGTTTTTCAATGGATATCAATACATAATTTTCAATAATTTGTTGCACATATAGTTTAAGATGATCAAACAAGTCATGCCAATAATAAATCTAATTATATCAGTAAACTTCTGGTTTACTGCACCATGTTTTATTACCAATAATAAATTTTTTAATATAGTATATGATTGATGATATCCATTTATGAAATTGATATGAAAAATATATCCACTATCAACTCATACTTATATTCCAACAGTTTTCCCTCAAGATTGAGTCATTCAAACATGATTCCTTGATTCATATATTTCATAAACAGTTATGAGCATATGATAGGTTAAGGTCAATAACCTATCTTTTGCTTGGAAGCCCAAGTACTTCATAATTCATATATACTTTGTATGCTCATAAAAAAAACAACATTAGTTTTTCTGGAACTATATTAATACTATTGTATCTAGTTCTTCAAGAACTATATAATTTAAGAGGAATATGAGAGACAACTCTATTTCAATATATCATTAACATAATAACAAATAATTATGAGTATCACAGATTTAACTTGCAACACATATAGAGAACACACAAAAATGTAGAAGAACATTTAAAATGAACTTTTAAAAATAAAGTACAAATAAAACTTAACGTTCAAAACTTCTCAATATTGATTAAGGTACTATAGACATTTAAAATATTCAAAACTAATATTGAATCAGATCATATAAATAAGATATAAATAAACAAAATGTAACTAGTAACTTTTGGGTCTATGTGATCTATTTAGTTTATCACACACTTATCAACATCACAATATCAAATTCTTATAACAATTTGTTTCTCACAAATCACAATAAATTTAAAGACTGATAAAAATTAAACATTATACATATAGCCTCTAGGCATATACTTATATGTTTTCTATTTTTATATATACTTTGGGCATCTATCTTTCTTCACAACTTATTTCTTTTAGGCATTAGAATTATCTTCGATATTTTTATAATATCACATGGTCTTTTTGATTCCACAACCATTTTTTTTTAACATTTTCTTTTCAATGAATTGATACCTATTTGTCTATATGACTTTTGGTTATATTATTACAGTTGTTCATAATTTTATCATATTGATCATAGGGCTATTACTAATTCTTCTGTTATGATTCAATAGTCAAACCCAAGATTATTGCCTTTTTAGTTATCAGTTCCACTGATACAATGTGATCATACTCTTTATCACTCTTATGGATATATTCCTTGCTTTCAATAGCACACCATCTTTTTTCTTAAATAGTAGTCTTCAGAACCATAACAAAATTTTCAAAACTACGAAGTTCTTTTTGTATTTTTAATTTTTTAAACCATCAATCTTTAGGACTTTGATATAGATTATCAAATTATGACAATCTTGCTATGCCATCTGTTACAACCACAAGATGATCTTTTATCAAAGAATCATTAAAACGTGATGTGGCTCGTGACCATCTAATCACAAAATCAAGAGTACAATGACTATTAGCCATTTATTTATATGTTTAACATTTTACTTTCTAATACAACAATTAAGTAATATTGGAGATAATAATCATATATAGTAATGTCATTGATGAAAATAAACTTCATAGCAAATCAATGGGTATAAAGATAATAGAATCATAAAAATATAAGAAAAGTAAGAAATAAAAATAAAAACCACCATTTCTTCTAAATAAATTGGAGAAATCTTACCAAACTGCTCGGATCAAACTATCTTCATTCAACGAACAAAACATAAACGTGTATCAACTAGAAGCCATGAACTCTGACGATAGAGTATCATGCTGATAACGTGTTATGAAATTAACCCAACAATGAAAGTAGATTGAAGAAGAGAAGTAGACAAGAAAATGAGAGGATAATATTGTATTCCTTCACTTGCTTCACTTTTATCACAATACAATGGCATGCCCTATTTATAGGTATAGCCTTACACATAAGTTATACTTGTACTTAAATAATAGATAGTGGACAATAAACCACATAAATGTAAGTGGGGGTGAGTTACAAGATTAAAGACATAGTGAAGAAGTAATAGAGTAGTGGGAGTTGAGGAAGTTGAGGAGGAAGGGAAGATGAACATCCACATTTGATAATATTCATAACACAAGGTACATTATCCCTATTTTTTCTCAATTTTCTGAGCATCAAAAATATTTTTCTGTAATTAATTTTTGACCAATTTTTCTTAATTAGTCAAGCTTTTAAAACTGACTGGAAATTCATAATAAATATTTTTCATCAAAATTCTACCTTTTTGAAATTAATATACTGTCCAATTTCCATTATTATCCCATAATTTTTGGGGATTTCTAACATATTTTTCAAAATTACATAAACATGCCTACAACTTCTTGGAAATTATACTTTTGCCTCAACACTAACATAATGTTAAGAGTTGTGTCCTCTGATTTCTTCCTATTATTCTAGTCCTTAAGTATCTAGGAATATCCTTACTCCTATTTACCAAATTATCGGATGTGACAAACACCTTATGAATCTTACATTTATTCTCAAATATTAATGAAATAGCTAACAAGTTATACTTTATTGGACTTTTAAGTGGAGAAAGATTTTTATTACTCTTTATCAATGAAACAAGACCAAACTCCTTTTTCAAGACTACCACAAGAAGAATATACACAAGGTATCATTTAGTGTAATGGGATAGAAAAACTCTTGATGTGGGCTGGCAATAGGTTCACTCTAACATGTTTCTTCTTTTCTCTTAACCCCTTTCCATGAAAGGGAATTCAATGATACTTGCACTAGCAAAAGGAAAAGCCTTCCCAAAATAAAATATACTCCATTCAACTAGCAAATCAATACCTATACTTTACTGAGATAAACCACACATTTATCATAGTAACTATTTATAAGTTTCATCTTCTAAAAAAAAAAAAATTTATTTGTTTATAGCACAATAAGATATTTCTTAATCAGTTGAACTCGCACGTGCTCATGTTCTTGGGGAGATGGATAGAGACATAGAGGACCACATGCCAAGGCAATCATTATCCATCCCCCTTGAACCAATTGTGCAAACCTAATATTATTAGCAACGTAAAAAGCAGCCATCAATACAAAGACACCATTGCCAGATAAGACAAATTTCATCCAAACAAACAAACCCAATCCTTTTTGTGATTTCAAAATGCGTGCACAATCTAAGCCTACGATAACTACCAACGAATAGAAAAGAGGAGCAGTCGAGCACAATGAAACCCTCACATCCTTCTCTTCTTCGACGGCGAGCAGCGGAACACAAAGGCACAGTTTCTCTCTTCCTTGACAGTGAAATTTGGAGCAGGAGAGGCTTTCTCTTTTCATCTCTTCTCTCTTCTTTGACGGCTTAAACCATGGAACAACAAAGAAAATGAGCCCACGCTTGCTTCTGTTTTTTTTTTTTTTTAAGAAAAAAAAATTATTTAGGACAATTTGATTATTTTAGTAAACTTGAAAATCCCTAATTGATCAAAAGTGATTAAAAAAGAATTTGCCTTCTTCAAACGTCTATGTGGAAATTTTTTAATTTAGAAATCCTTTTTCTGCTATTTTTCCTTTAGAAAAGATCCGAGAGAGGTCCAAAACAACATCGATGCGGCTCGTAGCAGCTTCACTGTCGCTGAAGGTACGCAGATCGCATATTGATTTATTGTCGGTAGCTTCATTATGATCTTATTACGACCCAAACCACTGAACTTGGAAACACCTAGAACTGTTTCAACGACAAACTTCTACTTCCTGAATCGTGTATGACAGCATGAATGATGAAGAATTTGAAACTCTGGGCCACGTGAAATCAAGCATAGGATTACTCAGCAGCAATACAATCCAATAAATACCCCTTTCGACTAACGGAAACAACAAAGAGGGAAAAATACATGATCAAATTAAAAAAAGCTGTAGCACAAACTGCAATACACAAAGTTAATGCTAATGAGTTAATGCATAAAATCATAATTATCAACATCAGTTTTGACCTTGGTTATTTCTCAGGGAAGACACCTTGAGCCTTCTGTCATAGAAACTGGATTCTAAAACCACTTGCAATACTCAAACTGATTCAGTGAAAACAAGTGGATCATCCAAGTACAAACTCTTCCTGATTCAATTTGCCGAGGAAGACACATTTGGAAGAAGAAAACTGAAAATCAGTGTTAGTGATTCAATCCTCAAAATCTCCAGCATTCTCAAGTAAGTAGTTGGCTGCCAATTGCTCATCACGGTCACATGCCAAAAATGCCTCTATGACTGAGGCTCTATCAAATCCCATTGCTTCGAGCTAGAAACCGTAAGTAGGAAGCAATAGCAAACAGCAATAGCAAACATAGAAAATTAGAAGGGAAAGTCAGGGAAGTGAAAAGGACTAATGAGCACTTATTTAAGAAATACAGGATTTGAACCCCATTGGGGCAATCCCCACTTCACTCAATCGTGCAATGATGAACCTGATCCACTGTCTGATTTGGACAGTCCAGGTTTAAAGATTGAGTCAAATGAGAAATCCTTCAATTGAAGGGATCCAAAGTCAAGAAAATGAAGACTGGCATACCCTTCCAATTGCCTCCTGTTCCGCTGGAGTCACATTGATGGAATGAGGCATATCTTGCTCAGGCTGGTCAAATATGTCACTGATGCAAAAGACATTTTTTTTTTTTCCTCAAATCCAAAGTCCAACAGCTCAACGAGCTTACAAATTCAAGGGAAGAAAATGAACCCTTCGACATATGGAAAATAATCACTTTCATGCTACATATCATAGATGGCAAAGAGGTCAACAGACAAGAAATATAACTTACAGAAGCTTGGGATGGCACCAAGTCCGGGACCATATATGACAATATACTTACCCTTCAGAACCTTCCATGGGTTCATTCATTAACTGGAGAAATTCAGCATGATGCTCCTGAATAAGTCTTAATAGATGAGGATTCTGCTTTCCAAGCTCTTGAAGTACAGGCTGCAATGAAAAGTGTCTTGTTCTTTAGACATGGACGAGACTTACAGAACAAAAGACAGATAGGTAATCAAGAAAATAAATACCTGCAGAATTTGAGGATTAGAATGTACCATTGATCGCAATGCTTGAAACTGAAAGCACAGAAAGAAACAGATAGTGAAGAACTACCAAATCAAAATGTGCAAGATGTTGCACAGGCACTGCCATCCATACATGCAGAAAAGATGTCATTTGTATAATGAATATCTAGATGCCACCATATATTTTCCTTCGTTCTTGAATTTTTCCCCAATATGCAAGCGGGGTTGAATTAGATGAAAAATCAAGGAATGAAATTTATCGCTTTTCCTATGGATATCCCTGAACTTCATTGTCCCACTCGACATCATGTCAATGAACAAAAATGAGGTCAACTAATTGTCCTAATTTGACTCTCGCATAATCTCCACCGTATATATAGAAATTATACACGGATAATCTCAAAATTCAACCTAACTGTAATGTCTTAATGTCAAATTTACCATTGAACTGTGCAAAATCTTCTTGAATACCAGCTGGAAATATAAATTAAATATTTTCCTGCCTTAGATTTGCATGACAAAAAATGGTTCAAAAGATCAGAAGCACTACAATTAATATAACAGCAAACTAACCTGCGGGTTATTTCTAAGGAATTCCAGAGATCCAAGTCCAGCTCCAGCACCAGAAATTGTCTCCTACAAGAGTTTCAACTTCAGCACAAGATAGAGCACAACCAGCAGCAGCAGAGATGCAAATAACAAGAGAGTTGATCAATGCACAATCATGAGTTCTACCTGTGGAAACATGTTTAATGGTGAAGTATTAGGTGCCCCGGAAACACCTCCAGCAGTGGCCCCACCTGTTTCAGTTGTCTGACTGACTGGGTAATGAGGAACCGGCATGGCAACCTCTGCTGCTTCAGGGATTCCCTTAACATAGAACAACTGCATTACTTAAATTCATAAAATTTAACAGATTTAGACATGGGCAGCAGAGACATACAGAATACAAGTAATCCACAGCACGCTCTGGGTTATTATAAGCTGCCCGAAGAGCACGTATAACTGTCTCTCTGTCCCAGTTGCCACCTCCCATGTCCATGATTTGTTGAATAGTCCGCTCAAGATCACCACCAACAGCTAAATTTGAAGCAGCCTGGCCATAAGTATCCACAGGCACACTGCAAAATTAATCCGCTCATATGTTTTAATAAGCTAACACTAGAAAGGGGCAATGACCAAAGACTATGCCAGTTAGTTAAAGACAAAGGAAAGGAAAACAAAGATTACCATTCTAGAATCATCTGTAACCAAGTTTGAACAGGAAGCATTACAAGAAGATTTTCAAGATACAATAACCTGCATACTTTCCTAAAACCAAGATTTCATGTCGTATTAAATTTTAATCTATTTTGTACAGTTGTCATGAACCCCTATTTTTGCTCAATTCACCGGTATTTATACTTAATGCATAGTAGAGAAGCAGAGAACACCATAAATCGAAGTTAGTAAGCATCTCACTGAGATTATTGAACTGAAATCCTCAAATTATAGTAAATTGAGCAATCCATACAGAAGGAACAATTGATAAAAGTACTAGAATTCAAAACGTAATAATCCTCTTTTTTTTTTTTATACAACCAGAAAAGGATCCTCATATTATTTGATCAATTTCACAACGCATAATTAGTTTAGAAGAAATATGCCTATCACTAAATCACTAAACTAAAGAGATAATGACAAACCTCAACAGTAAACAGTAATTAAAAAAAAAAAAACAAGCCAAATGATATGCTTTCTCAAGTTCAAATATGTGACGATATTTACTCTAGAATGTACAAATAACAATTTGGTGGAATTCAATAAAAAGCTGCTCTACAAAGTGCAAGTCTTACAAAGCATATCCTAGACAAAAGAAAAGGTATCCCCCACTGTGCATTCAAGAAGCATAGAAACTCTCACAAGTCACCCATCACCTTTTCCATACCTCTCTACAACCATCTCTCACATTATATAGTCTTCTCTACTATCATTGTCAATCCATAACCCATAATACCAAAAGCACCCCTATCCTACATATTCTGCACTCCTATTCCACCTTTGGGCTGAGGGCCCATTTCCGACATTACCCCCACTGTGAGATTGGACTTGTCCTCAGGGTCAAGAGAAAGATGTTGTAGCCGATTCAGGTGATGGTTCTAAAGATGTTTTAGATAGTTCTCCTCGTTCAAGATGTCTCTCACCCCCTATTGGTGATTCTTATAAAAGAAACAAGACCTGCAGCTACTTCTTTTTGCATCGACAGCCTTGTTTGCACTTCGTCGCGCTTGAAGCAAAGCCCCAATTCATAGAAACATTTGATTTATGCACCGATGAACCTCTTTGGGTCTACTTTGCCAGAATAAGTGATTGCAATTGTGACCTTCTTTGCGTCGTTTGCTGTCATCGAGTCTAGTGGCTTAGTCGAGAATGAAGAAGATGCAAGTATGAAAGTGGCTTTGGCCGAGTCTTACTGAGAGCGAAGTCAGATAGGGTAAATCTAATTACCCATTTCATTGTCTTTAACCCAAACCTGTTCATGCCCAACTCCTCATAGATCAACAATGCTGCTCAATACCCAATTTCAATCCTCTATCTTAACACCATATCCAACTCATCTAATAGCATATGAAGATGGAGCAAACAAAGCTCTGCCTTGACTTCCAGCTTCAGGCCATTCAAAAATGCCTCAATCAAGAACACCTCGTTGGAGTTTCTCAAGGTAACAGAGGGTAGTTCAAATCGTTCAATATACTCAGCACACTCTAATGTTGCCATTAGCTATGAGCATCTCATAGGCATTCCCACATTGAGAAGGATGGAAATGGTGAATTAAATCACGTTTCAGCTCTTTCTATTCTGACATTAGAGAGCGTACCTCTTTCCATCGGAACTAGTTGAGCACACGTCCTTCAAAGCAAAGAACAACCATATCAAGTTTGGCTGATTCAGCTACCTCGCTAAACTTGAAATAATGTCCAATTTGAAGATCCAACCAAGTGGTTCAGTGCCTGAAAATAGGGGTAGATCAAGCTTACGGTAGTTTGGGACATCAGTGTCCCCACCACTACTACCATTCCCAATTTCAATGACCTCAGGTCCTAAGTATGGTACTTTCAAAGTTGCCAAGTCTTCTAATTATTTCTCCTTCCTAGCAGAGCATGTGGTAGCTTGGAGTTCTATAACTAATTCTGCCATTAAAAAGTTCAAAGTACAACATCTCATGATAGTTGCCATGTCTCCACCCAAGAGTTCACCATTTTGCTTAGTTTGCAGTGAGCGAGCTTCAAGTTCAACAAGTCTATTCTCCATTCTTCTGCTGACCATTCCCAAGAAAGAAATGCTTTGATACCTTTGACTTGATGGATATAACTTTAGAAAATAGGTATTATTTGATGAAAAGTTTCTCCATAGAGGATAAGTCCTATGGAGCATATCACAGACAAGAAATGCTATCCCTCACTGCATTCGAGGAACCAAAACTCTCCCAATTCACTCACCATCTCTTCCATACCTCTCTACAGCCACCTCTCCATATAGCATTCTCTATTGTAAATTTCAATCCATAATACCAAAAATTCCCTTATCCCACATGTTTTGCACCCCTACTCTACCTTTGTGCTTAAATCCCATTTCCAACACAATTAAAAGGTAGTTTCTTGTTAGCATTCCTTTATTAGTAATTAGTAACCAATTAATGATAGAATGTATTAACATTATGTAAGGCAAGCTTGGTAGAGTTAACTCAATAGATTAGCAAAAGTAGAGACAATTTCATGAACCATACTTTGTAGCTATGACGTTTGCCCCTGATGAATTGTTTATTGTAGCCCTACAAAGCCAAAGTTATTTTTGAAAAGAATAACTTAAAAAGCAAATGAGGCATAAATAAGACATAAATCATCTAGAGGATGAAAAACTCACTGAGTACTTTGTACTGCAAGTTCGGGTTCGGGTTCAGGTATAGGAGGAGTGGAATTTTGGGTTGACGTAGTTGAACATTGATTGTTAATAGGCTAACACAAGCAAGAATAATCACTATCTCAAATAGCGAAGACGAGATAGAGAAATCAAATGCCTAAATACAATGAAAATGAGTGACAATCCTACCTGAGTGGATGAAGCCCCGGATGAACTTGAAGTTTTACTCTGCTTAAAAAATTGGTAAATCATGTAAAAATATGTTCACAAATGAACAAACCAAAACACAAACAAAGTTAGAGTAAACAATTAAGAGGGCAATTATTGAAAAAGAAGTGAATTTATCAAATTTGAACAAATGGAAGAGTAGAAATGACATAGCCATATTACTTCTTCAAAGTTCTAAGAGGGAGGGAAAGGGAGAAGGAGAAAGAATATAGGCAAAAGGTTTACATTTAATGATTATTATTTCCCCTGTGATAAAATGGAAAGAAATAGAAAATTTCACAATTTAGGACTAGGGCAACAAATTCATGGTAAATAACAACATCAATAACAACAACCAATGGATTCCCTTAAAAGTGCCAAAAGGTCGTTGAAAGTTCATTATGATTATCCTTAGTTTATATGACACAAATACTTGCAACAAAGAATCCACAAAAATACTACGAGTTCAAATACAATGATCATGTCGATAACATAAAAAAGTCCATCTGCTAGTAAGGAAGTAACACAATCACCAATTACAGTAATGTCCAAGTTGATTTTAACATAATAGAAGCATAAATAGAAGCATAAACTGCCATGGCATACTTGATTGGAAATAGAGGCTTGCCTATTATTTCAATTGCTTTCCTCTTATCTTGTTTATATATCAATTAGATTTAGTGCCCATTTGAAAAATGGTGGAAGCCAAAATAGTCACATTTAGGAGCCAAAAGTAATTATTGTTGGAAGACAAAGCCCAAGCCCAATAAGCTGTGTTTTATTTATTTATTAAGTCCATTCTTTGTATTCAGTTTATCAGTCTCATTAGATTTATCACATAGATTAGGATAGATCTCTTTGATTTAGTCATTTATCCTAGATTTAGGTATCTTAGCAAGTTATATAATGTACTTACTGCTTCAGTAATAATACACCGATTAAAACAATTGCTCTCCTCTCTCCTGGTATCAGAGCTGGCGACCGAGAGAGAGAGTGAAAGTCGCGGCTTTAACCACGACTAGGACCAATCGGAGAGAGTGAAAGTCGCGTCCTTATTCGCGACTAGGACCAGGCAATCTGGTCGCAGGAAGACCGACGATAGAAGCATTTGAAGTTGGCGACTAAAGACCGAGGGAGCACGACTGGGTTGAGCAACTGAAGACCCAGTACCCAGTGATCGCATCTGAAGACCGAGTGAGCACGTCTGGGTTGAGCAACTGAAGACCCAGTGATTGCATCTGAATTGGCGAACGCCAACAGCCGAGAAATCTGATCACATTTGAGTGAGCGACTGAGACCGAGTTGAACAAAGGCACGATCATATCCGTGCTACCTGGTGAACCCGACGTGAACCCGATTGAGACCGAGTTGCACAAAGGCACGATCATATTCGTGCTACCTGGTGAACCCGACGTAAACGAGATGGAATCTGGAGGATTTCCACCTCTGTTTGGCACAATGAGGCGTCCTTCATCAGCGTTTACAGTAGGTACAGCACCATCATCTTCTTCTTCTGCATTGGGTTCTTCTGCATCGGGCACGGGTTCTTCTCCTTCAATGGGAATAGAATCTGGATTGACCACCGAGACGCCTCAGATGTTGGTCGCTCACAAGTTGAATGGAAGTAATTATTTACAGTGGTCTCAAAGTGTCCTGATGTACTTACGAGGCAGAAGAAAAGAAAAATACATAACTGGGGAGGCCCCACAACCAAGTCTTGATGACTCAAAATATGATACTTGGTTTGCTGAAAATAATCTGGTGATGACCTGGTTATATAACTCCATGACAGTAGATATTAGTGAAGGCTGTCTGCTTGCTAAGACGGCAAAGGAGATATGGGATGCTGCCAAAAGAACATACTCAGCTATGGAGAATACTACTGCTCTGTTTCAAATCAAAAAGGCACAGAGAGAGATGAAACAAGGAAGCATCACAGTGACACAATATTATACTGCTCTCACACGCTTGTGGCAGCAGTTGGACATGTTTGATGTCCATGAATGGAAGTGCAGCAGTGATGCCCAACTATATAGGGAACTGGTTGAAAAAGAACGAACCTATGAGTTCTTAATAGAATGGTTTCAGAAGTGAACGGATTACGAAGTAATATGTGGAGGAGTTGCTTACTTGGGTCTCATTGACATGTTTGATGACGTAAGGGGAAGAATTATGGGAATGAAGCCACTGCCATCGCTGTTCGAAGCTTTCAATATGGTCAGATGTGAAGAAAGCAGAAAACGACTCACCCTGAGTGTATCTGCACCCTCTGAGAGTTCAGCGTTAGCAGTACATGGTAACAATGGATCAGATCAGAGAGGAAAGAAGAACTCCAAAGGATGGTGTGACCATTGCAACAAAAATGGTCATACTAGGGATATATGCTGGAAATTACACGGCAAACCAGCAAATCTGAAACAAAAACGAAGACCGGAGAATAGGGGGTATGCTGTGGTGACCAACGAGAATGAGGAGAATGGAGAAACTCTTAGCCGAGAAGAACTACAAGTACTCAGACGAATTCTTGAGAAGCATAATAACTCTACCTCTACCCCTAAAGCAAATCTGGTGAAGTCAGGTAATTCTATTATAGCCCTAAATGCATTGGCAACCAGTGATAATACTTAGATTGTTGACTCGAGAGCTACAGATCATATGACGGGTAATAAAGCTTTGTTCAGAATTATAAAGTATTGTCGTGATGAGAACCTTAAAGTGAAAGTTGCTAATGGAATCTTCTCCAAAGTTTGTGGTGTTGGAACTGTCAAGATTTCTGATAACTAGAATTACAAAATGTTTTATTTGTCCCAGCACTTGCATGTAATTTGCTATCAGTGAGTAAAATAACTAAAAATCATCACTGTCAAGTGTTTTTTGATGATACCGGGTGTGTTTTTCAGGATTTGACAACAAGGAGGAGGATTGGCATTGCTAAAGAATAGGATGGACTCTATTATCTTGAAGGCTCAAGGATCACCAATAAACATGTGGGCAAGGCTTTGTTTAGTTCAAATTCTTCAAAAAAGGATGTATTATTATGGCACTCTAGGATAGGCCATCCCAGTGTTGACTATATGAAACACTTATTTCCAGATTTATTAAATAAAAGTTCAATTCCTTTTCTTTGTGAAACTTGCCAGTTTGCAAAACAAACTAGAACTTCCTATCCCAAACAACCTTACAAACCAATTGCACCCTTTACCTTAATACATAGTGATATTTGGGGACCTGCTAGAGTTAAATCAACCTCTAACGCTAGGTGGTTTGTTACCTTTATTGATGATCATACTCGAGTAACTTGGGTATACTTGATGAAAGAAAGATCGGAAATTTTTAACATTTTTAGAAGTTTCCACACATTTGTGAAAACTCAATTCCAAGGGACAATCAAGATATTAAGAAGTGACAATGCAAGAGAGTACCTCAGCACAACCTTAAAGGAATTTCTTGACCAGCAAGGAATCCACCACCAAACCTCGTGTACATACACCCCGCAACAAAATGGGGTAGCTAAACAGAAAAACCGACATCTCCTAGAAGTCACCCGAGCCATTATGATTGCCAGGAATGTTCCAAACCTATTTTGGGGAGAAGCTATTCTCACATCAGCCTACCTAATCAATAGAATGCCCACAAAAATACTCAACTATCAAACCCCCATTCAAAAACTTCTTGAAACCTACCCAGATTCACCCCTAGTCTCAGACATTCCCTTGAAAGTATTTGGATGTGTAGTATATATACATCAAGATGATAGCAACAAACTTGAACCAAGAGCTTTAAAATGTATCTTTCTTGGGTATTCTCCTACCCAGAAAGGTTATAAATGTTATTGTCCCACAACCAGAAGAGTTTATGTTACTAGGGATGCCGTATTCTCCGAAGAAGATGCATACTATCCCAAGTTACCCATTCAGGGGGAGAATTATGACACTGAAGAATGGCTAACTTTGAATGTCCCTGCTCAAACAATCCTAGACATCCCTGAACCAAACCCACAAGCTTTTGAAAATCTAGCTTCCTCTATTCAACTTGAACCTGAAGATCCAAACCCACAAGCTTCTGAAAACCTAGCTTCCTCTATTCAACCCGAACCTGAAGATCCAAACCCACAAGCTTCCTCTACTCAACAAAATCACAGCCATCTGGAAAATAGTGTTGAGGTGAATACAGGGATGGACCAAGAAGGTAGTACTGAAACTGATGATGAAGAAGAACAACTCGCAGAAGAGCAGCAAAATAATAGAGTCTCTCACATTCCGAGGCATAACCAAATCTCCAATTCAATGTTAGATCCTGAAAAACTTGGGTGGCCAATTGCTCTCAGAAAAGCGGTAAGATCCTGTACTCAGCATCCCATCAGTCGATTTGTTTCCTATGATAAATTATCTTCTAGAATGCAGACATTTGTAGCAAACTTATCCAGTGAGAGAGTACCTAAGACGTTTCAAGAGGCTATTGGTAACTCTAATTGGAAACATGCTATCAATGAAGAATTGGAAGCATTGAAACAGAATGAAACATGGGAAATTACCGATTTACCCACAGGAAAGAAGACCGTGGGGTGTCGGTGGGTTTTCACAATCAAGTACAATCCAGATGGAAGTATAAACAAATATAAAGCAAGACTTGTAGCTCGAGGATATACACAAACATATGGGGTTGACTATCAAGAAACCTTTGCCCCGATAGCTAAGCTCAACACCATTAAGGTTCTTTTATCAATAGCAGCCAATCTAGACTGGCCACTTTATCAGCTAGACGTGAAAAATGCTTTTCTGAATGGGGATCTTAAGGAAGAAGTATATATGGAGATACCTGCTGGCTTGAAGAATTCAACAAATTGCTCAAAGGTTTGTAAACTCCAGAAATCATTATATGGGTTGAAACGATCCCCTAGAGCTTGGTTCGGAAGATTCTCGATGACCATAAAAAGAATGGGATACTCACAAGGGCACTCAGATCACACACTCTTCATAAAGCATGTTAGTGATCAAATAACCATCCTGATAGTGTATGTAGACGATATTGTGATTACAGGAAATGATGAAGGTGCCGTAAGAAGGTTAAAGAGATCATTGGCAGCTGAGTTCGAGATGAAAGATCTGGGACAGATGAGGTATTTCCTTGGGATGGAAATTAGTAGAATCAAACAAGGAATAAATGTCTCTCAGAGAAAATATACATTGGATTTGTTGCAAGAAACTGGTATGCTTGGAGCCAAACCGGCAGAAACCCCCATGGAAACTGACTGCAATTTAGAATACAAGGATGGGATACCGGTTAACACCGGAAGATACCAACGATTGGTAGGAAAACTCATCTATCTGGCTCATACAAGACCAGATATAAGCTACGCCGTGGGAGTCGTAAGTCAGTTTATGAATCAACCACAAGAACAACATATGGAAGCGGTATATAGATTTCTGAAATATTTGAAGATGAATCCAGGAAAGGGGTTATTCTTCAGGAAAGGAGAAGCTAAGGAATAGAGATTTACACAGATGCAGATCATGGGTGGTCCTTGCTAGATAGGAGGTCCACTACTAGATACATCACTTACTTATGGGGAAATCTGGTTACTTGGAGAAGTAAGAAGCAACCAGTGGTTTCCAGAAGCAGTGCCGAAGCAGAACTAAGGGCACTAGCCCTTGGGGTCTGCGAAGGAATCTGGATAATTAGAGTTCTAAAAGAACTTAGACTAATGCATACTGGGCCAATAAAACTTTGGTGTGATAGTAAATCAGCCATGGAAATGGCCCTAAATCCTGTGCATCATGACAGGACAAAGCATGTTGAAATTGACAGACACTTCATAAGAGAAAAGATTGAAGGTGGTATCATTGACTTAACTTACATCCGAACCAAAAATCAAGTGGCAGATTTGTTTACTAAACCATTGCCCAGAGACTCATTTGAAGGACTAAGGAGCAAGCTGGGAATGATTGACATCTATTCACCAACTTGAGGGGGAGTGTTGGAAGACAAAGCCCAAGCCCAATAAGCTGTGTTTTATTTATTTATTAAGTCCATTCTTTGTATTCAGTTTATCAGTCTGATTAGATTTATCAGATAGATTAGGATAGATCTCTTTGATTTAGTCATTTATCCTAGATTTAGGTATCTTAGCAAGTTATATAATGTACTTTACTGCTTCAGTAATAATACACCGATTAAAACAATTGCTCTCCTCTCTCAATTATAAAACCCAAAAATTACCATTTGGATCATTTCAGTAATATCATAGTCGATTAGGATTTTCTCTTCATCGCAAATTTAGCAAAGGTGATAAGGAAATGCTTTTGCATTTCACAAATCGCAATGGACCCCTTGCACAAGAACAATTTCTCTATTTTACCCCTCTCTTGTCCCATTCCCTTTCAATGATATTTTCAACACCTTGTTTTTGTTATTTCTCAACCAAATCACAAAATTCTCAGTCTCGATTTGATTAGTTCCATTATTACTTTTGCTAATAACTTTAAATTATATTATTTATTTTAGTATATCTTTTATTTGGAATATGTTGTATTTTATTCAATATACGCACTTTACTTGAAAACAACAATTTTTCTTCATACTAAAATCTTTTTAAAAAAAATCATTTTAATATTATGTCATTCATTAAATTATAATCCGCAATTATTTAAATTAAATACAAATTATGAAAATTTAAAGAACTTCATAAAAGTCATAACCATAACCTTTTTATTAAGTATACATCCAAAAGTGATTCTAATAAATGATATCCAAACAGATTCAATCCTTCAAAATCATTTTCTCAGAAAAAAGATACCAAACAAAAATTACAATTATTAATAATCACTTGAAATCAAAATAACTTAGAAAAATTTCAGTTATTCAAAATCTCATTTGCCCAACTCTAATCCGAACAGGCCCTAAGAAACTTAATGTGACTTAGATTTGGCATTACCATGTTCTACAGAATTGACAGCTGGGTAGGCTGGCTTTACAGTAGTTTTTAGCATCAGAAAAACATTACAATAACAACACCACCACTTATGCCACACGATGCAACGGTATGTTTAGTGGAATGACTTCATAACCACATTAGTTGATGTAACGTAAGCCATTAGAACTCTCCCTTAAGACTGACCCCATTAGGCAGGAGTGCCTCAAGACTAAAGCACCATCTTATATCTCAACTTTTGCACCATTTGGCTGTATCTAATTGCCACCACTAGCTAATAAGAGAAGTCTATAATAATTGAGAAACTAATCAATGGGTTGGCAATATTTGGTCAAAATTTTACATTCCTCTCACTTTGGGCCCAAACAGAATGCTTTGCTATGATTCTGATTCAGCCCTTAAACATTGTCAAGTAATATTTCTAGGACGAAACAAAACAGTAAGCTTGTTAGTTGGTCATGGATCACAAAATGATATTTTAAATTGAATGAAATGAAAAATCAAAACATAAAAGCTCTAAAAAAAGACATCAGTAATCAATCCATCAAACAATGTTAAGCACCATCTTGATGGTTGAATTCTACACAAAACAGCATAAGGTTGAAACTTAATATTTTGCTGAAAACTTATATTAGTAAAGAAAGATACCTTGCTAAGCATGACAACAAGAAATCCATTTTCAGCGACCTGGTTCTCCGCTAGTGTAGTTTCATCTTTCAAAACCTTGCCATTAAAAATAAGCAACTGCTGTCCACATGGGTAATTATCTTTTCCTTGTACATCTTCTATATTCTTCTTCACAGCCATGACCTTCAAGGGGAAAAGGTGAAATTTCAGCTAATCTACAACACAGAAATTATTATTCTACCATCAACCATCAACCATCAACCCAAACAACCCTATAAAGTGTCTCGGTTATGTTTAAAACAGACCAAATACAGTCTGGCAATGATGAATGCATTAAACTAAATTGATTGGTACTCTCAGCTTCACCATTCACCGAGTAAAAAGACGGATTTCTGCGTAAATTAGGAAACTAGCGAAAAGACAAGTCAACACAATACCAAGCAACTTCCCATCTCAAATATCCATCTAAAGAATACAAAATACGACATTGATAGATACAATGCAAATAATAACCGAGCTAAAGAACAGGGGATTCACAGTTGCATCGGCTGAAAACTTGAGATATAATATTTAATCCACAATTAGCTAAACAAAAAAATAATGATTTTGAGCTACTCAAACTCAACAATTTCAATTCCTAAATTCGGAAACAAATTAACAAATCATACAGAACGCAGAATACGCTGTGGAATTGTATTTCTAGCCGGAAAAACGGGGAAATGAAAGATATTGGAAGCTAAAACCCAGAGACAAAACGTGTAATAGCCGAATGGGAAGTGAAATTACTAACAGTGTCTGAAGGTTGAACCCTGATGTCGAAATGACTTCCTTTCAAAGTCTTGACGGTGAGCTTCATGACGCTGGGGGTCATGGAATGACGTCGGCAACAGCGGCTGTCTGAATTGAAATCCGGGGCAAGAGAGGAAAACCCTAGACACAGACACCGCTCCGTCTGTTGCAGAGAATCAAAAACATGAGCTCAATGCTTTTCTATTTTCGTAAACTTAACCATATATAGCGCCGTGACATCATTGGTGCAAGGGACTTCAAACCCCCGAGAAAATTATCTTCATGCCAATTTCCCCTTTTTAATTTTAAATAATCTTGTTAATTTTTCGTTGAGCTGTCCCTTCCGTTGTCTTTTTTATATGGGAGAATTACACTGAGATAAAAAAAAAAGAATAATTAAAAAAATTTAAGAAATTATTATTTTTTACTTTAAAACTTATAATTACAAGCTGTTTAAGTTGTTATTAAAACTTTTTAATAACTATTTTTCTTTCAAAAAATCTCATTATAATTCTCTCTTTTTATATTTTCATTTCATCCCCACTTCATAATTTCATTCAACTTTATATTTCATATTATAATTTAAAAACTTTTAATGAAATCTTTATCATTTATAACTGAAATTAAGGAAAAAAAGTTTTTTAAACTATCTTTTTAGTCTAGTCATTGAAAAAATAGCTCAAAAAATATGATTAGTGGCATTTTTACAAATATCGATAGATTTTTTTATATCAATTTTATATACAACCAATTTGAAATATACTTTTTAAGTTGAGAGTTTGTAAAACCAATTAAAAAGTATTAGAAATATTATTTTAAAAAAATCAATACTTGTTAGACTGATTATCTATATTGCTAGTCTAGACAATAATAAAAATAATTCTAAAAAAATAATCTATAATAATTTTTTGGACCGTATGTGTAACATCCCAAATTATAGGCTTAGAAGTACCAGAATTACCCTAAAATGGGCAAGATGTTATTAGGGCTACACAAGCTACTTGGAACCCGCTCGCCTGTCGGCAACACATAAAAATTAGGCCCGTTTGAGCCAGCTCAAAAGAGAAAAGAAAATAAACGGGTGGACTCAAACAAGCGAGTTCACAACTTAAATGGGCGGGCTATGGGCACAAGCATGGGTTGCCAGTATCTGCCCATTTAGGTTTTTTTTTAAATTAAAAAAAAGAGAGATCAAATCATCAAATACAAGCCTAGTTCAGTTAGTCAAGGCTATCCAGTGTCCAATCTGTCTCTTTCGCCTCTCAGTCTCCAAGTTTGATCTACTGTCCACTGTCCTCCATAGTCCAATGTCATAGTCACCTAAAGTCCTAAACAAACACCCACCCCATGTCCCCAGTCGGCCAGTCCCCACGCAGTTGTAGAGTTGCTTAATGCTCAGTGCTCACTGCCTCACTCACGCCTGATGCCTCACCACTCACCAGCTCACCATCACTATACTTAAGCACTACTACCCACAGTCACCACACAGTCTCACACTCTCTTATAGAGTTGCCCCTCTCTCAGACCTCATTCCAGCTCTGGTCACGTAGAGGTGCAGCACCACAGCCCCTCTTGGCCTCTCCCTCTCTCCTTGCCACCATGAAGTCCCTATCCCTCTCCCAGCTCGATCTCTCAGCCTCTCACAGCTCATGCAAGGTCGCCTCTCCCAACCTCCCAACTCAATCTCTTAGTCTCTCATGCGGTAAGTTTCAGCTTTCAAATCTTCCACTTCAATATTTCATTTTATTCTTATCAGTTCGCTCCTCCTTGGTCGACAATTGACATAGACATTTATATACTTGTATTTGCTGAATTGCTAACATTTATTGTCTGATTGCTGGGTTGCTGCCGATGAACATTGAACATTGCTCTGCTTTCTTGTTTAGATTTGCTTCTACTGCGGAATTATTTATCAAGTTTGATTGCAATAAAATTACATTTCCTATCTTTTTTTTTGGTTATTTTCTCTTGTGTTTCGATATTCTTCATTACTTTTGTTGCTCTTGCTAAACTATTTTCATGCTGCATGTTTTTCTTTTTCAATTATGTTTTAGTGAAAATTGGTTTTGTTTTAGGAAAATTGGGAGAGTATGATTATTTTTGTTTCTCCTATTATTATTTTTGTTAAATTTGATCTGGATTGAGAAGGAAATTGAGGATTGGCACAAAGTCAGCAAGAAAATGTCAAAAGTAAGACTGTTGTAGAGGAAAATGTGGAAGTTCCAACCAAATATCCAAGTACTATTGTTCAACATGGCAAAAATAATAATGAGAGACAAGATGCTAAAGAAGTAGCACCACCAATGAAGAGAAAAAGGCATTAACATCTGAACTAGAGAAGTGTAATTATTGTGGCATAGATTATGCAAGTCATCCAACTAAAAATGGGACACAACAGCTATGGCAACATTTTGAAAAGTGTCCTAAGAACCCAAACAAAGCGACCAAGTCACAAACTATGTTTGCTACTATTTCTTCTCAATCATCTCAATCTTATTACTTGTTCAATCAAGAACAATGTAGAAAGGCTCTTGCAAGGTTCATTATAAAGGATGACTTGCCTTTTGAGTTGTGGAAGGGCATGGTTTATAAGAACTTTTGCAAGAGTTTGAACCTAGGTTTCAGATGCCATCACGATGGACAATTGCTAGGGATTGTTACTAATTGTATTTGGAGGAAGCAAAATGTTTGAAAAAATAATTTCAAGTGATCTAAATGCTGTGTCCCTTACCACTGATTGTTAGAATTTAATATAAAACTCCAACTATGTGTGTTTGACTACACATTGGATTGGTGAGGATTAGACTTTGCAAAAAACAGATTTTGAATTTCTGCGTCATTGAAAATCACAAAGGGATACAATGGTAAGCAAATTGAGGATTGCTTATTCAATTAGGGCATTGAAAGAGTCTTCACAATTACAATTGACAATGCTTTTTCTAATGACACTGCAATTGCATATCTGAAGAAATGGTTGAAGAGTTGGAATGGTTTAATGTGTGATGGAGATTTTCTACAAATGCAGTGTGTAGCTCATATTTTAAATCTGACTATTGGTGAAGGTTTGAAGGAAACAAATAAGTCTATTAAACTCATTCGACATGCAATTAAACTTGTTAGATCTTCTCTAGGTAGGTTACAGAAGTTCAAAGAGCTTGTTGAAAAAGAAAAAACTGATTCGAAGGGTTTGTTAACCTTGGATTGCCCCACAAGGTATTTTTCACATTATACTTGTATTATTTTCACTTCATGTCAATTTCATTTGATAATTCCTAATTGTTTGTTTCCTATTACGGGAAGAAGAAGATCAAGATTACAAGGATTATTTTAAGAAAAAAGTTAAACTAGATTCAAGCTAACATGGTGATTCCCTAAATTATGATGATGACGGTGATAATGTTAATGTTATTGACACAACATCGATAAGGAGTACAGTTAAACCACCTAGTTCATATGGTTGTTGTGTTGCCAATAAGTTTCTTGTGTTTTGGAGGTTGTTCTATGCTAAGACCCTCAAATTTTTTGGATCAAATTTTATGACAACAAGCACATGCTTTCAGCATAAAGTTGCAATTCAGACTCATCTTCATTGAAATGCGGCTAGTGACTACTATCTCTTGAGTGACATAGCAAGAAGAATGCAAACAAAAAATGATAATTATTGGGAAAAAGTAGAAAAAATGAATCCACTATTGATCATAGCAATGATCCTTGATCCTAGATTCAAGATGACATATGTTAAGATTGCTTTTGAAGGCATTTTTCTTGAACCTACAAAGCATGAAGCCATGTTGAAAAAGACTATGGATGTCTTGTATCGATTATATGATCACTATTCTAGTGTTGTTGAGGTTGATCATGGTGAAGCATCTAAATCTCAATCAACAGTGGAGCAACAAGAACTACATGATAGTGTTGGAGTTGGAGATGACATTGACATGCTATTTCATGATGATATTGATTCTACATTTCAAAAGTTCCTGGCCACTGCAGACATTGTTGTTAATGCAAAGAAAATTTCTAAGATGTATGAATATCTTCAGGCAGATTTAGGTGGTTTCCGTGATCCAAAATTTGATGTTTTGGCATGGTGGAAAGTAAATGCTTCCAAGTATAGAGTTCTTAGTGTAATAGCATGTGACTTGTTAGATATGCCTGTCTCTACAGTATCTTCTGAATCAATTTTTAGTACTAGGGGTCGAGTACTAGATAATTTAGGAGTTCTTTATTTGTAAAGATAGTTGAGGCACTCGTATGTGTCCAAAATTGGCTATCCAATAATACCCCAAAACTCAATGACCTGGAACTCAATAATTTTACTAAGAGTACAAATATTGTTACTGGTATTCAAATTTCAATCATATTTTCAATTTATATTATTTTCTCTTCTTATTAAATATTAATGAATTGATGAATTTCTTTTATTTGTTTTGTAAAGAAAGAGTTACTAGCTCCAAATGCAGCTACCTCCTCAAGTAACTCTGAAGCAAAAGAAGAAGATCATGATGATAAGATGAGTGATGATGATGATGAATGATGATTAACCCTTTAGATTTCTATACTTATGGTTACTTTGCTTAAAGTTTGAACATTCAAAATTTTGCATGATGGATTGTGATTATATGGACTATAGAGTATGGACTTTGATTAATTATGAGCTATAGAATATGGACTTTGATTAATTATGGCTAGGTTATCCTGTATGATGGTTTTAATGTCTTTAAATTTAAGAATCCAGATTGTTTTTATCTGTAAACAGGTTGCCCTTAACCCACATAAATCCACCTATTTAACCCAGCCTATTTAACAATGGGCTTAAACGAGCTACATATGGGTAAGGGCTAGCCTGAACCCGTGTAACCTTAAACAGGAGGGCTATAGGTTATGGGTCGGGCTGCCTAACCCGCCCGTTGCTCAGCCCTAGTTATTAAAAGCCTTTTGGCAAAAGCTTTAAAAATTGTCACATCCAAATTTTTAGGCTTAGAAGCCCAAAAAGTAGTTTAAAGAAGATAGGCTACCAAGCCCTTTTAAGCAGAAGGCCCAAAAGATGCAAAAAGAAGCTAGAACGGGAATAGGGATTAAACTATAAAGTGAGAAAGTTTCTAGGGACAAAGTGTAAATAAAGTCAAGGGCTCCAGAGAAGTCTTAAGGGCTTAGAAAGGAAAAATGGGTTTAGTATAGGCCTAAGGTTAGGGTACAAGCCTCAAAATGATGATTCATGATGTTGAGCCCGAGCAAGAGCAAAACCGTAATTTCAGAAAATTATAGACCAATGGGGGTAATTATGAAAAGTATACAGAAAATTTTCAAAAAATTCTAGAAAATGAGATATGATGTATAGAGGCCTTTTGATAAAGATAAATGATGAAAATACCCCTGCAGTAGCTTTAATGGAATTTTTAGTAATTATGGAGGATTGACTAATCAAGAAAAATTGGTCAAAAATTAATTATTAGAAATATTTCAGAGCATTAGAAAATTGAGAAAAAAATAAGGATAATGTGCCTTGAGAATTATATGACATTGTACAAGTAGGTTTATACCCAAAATACCCCTAGAAAAATTATAAAGGAATTTAAGGGCCATTTAAGCTATTTTGGGATTTTTATTTGGAAAATTCCAAATGAATATTTTTGAGGATAATTAAATCCCAAAAAAATTTACAAGGTATTCCTAGGATTTATAAGAGATTATGAAGTAGAAAGAAGCCTCTTAAATATTCAGAAATTCCAGAAATATCTCCCTGTGTAAAGAAATTACTATGGTAATTAAAATAGTTTTCTTCTTTACCATTGATAGAAAATTGTGATGGTAACAAAGAAGAGCATTTTGGGAAGAGAAAAATTATAAGAATGTATTATAGATCTGACAAAAAATAATTACAGTACCCAGGATATTGTAATTGTGAAATATGAATTATTTTCAGTGTAAAGTATACTGTTAAAGCATAAAGTGTCTTCTTGACTTTTACTTGGCCCACATTGTACCACTTGTCAAGCTATGAATGGAGAGAATTATGATGCCACTTGTCAAATCAAGGATGGATAGGATTTTAACTTTAGAAAATCAATTTAGTTTGGATTTATTTTAAGGATGAAAATTAAGTAAGAAGCTTTGACAAGTTAGTACCCAAGCATTATAATTAGTGTGACCTTGGATGGCAAACAATTAGAGCTTGACTTATAAATAGTCATCTCCCTCCCTCACAAGCACACATTTTAGCCAAGCATAGGGAAGCTCTTGGAAATTGGCTTCTTAAAGGTCAATCAAGGAGAAGCACACTACTTTGGTACATAAACTTGAATACAAGGTCAGTTTGATGTTCTACCTTGTATTATGCTATGTTTTCTTGAATTTGGTATTTGAAAAATATTGATTCCTCTAAGGGAAGATGCTGGCCGAATTGAGTCATGATTGGGGGAGGATGATTTTGATGTTAAACCTGGTTTAAAGTCATTGATTATAGCTTGATTTAAGTGGTATTGTATTGAAATTGGAAAATTTGTATGATATGGAATCCAAGGGTACTGTTCGGCCAAACCTGTAACAATACGCTAGGATGTAATTTTGTGAGTTTTGACACTTCCATTAGGTTTAAAATAAAAAATTGTGTAAGGTAAACCTAAAGGATAAGCTTTAGAAGAATTGGAATCAAAGTTGGAAAGTTAGGATTTTATAATCCTACCTTTCAACCAAAATAGTTTGGAAGGGAAGAAATTTTATTTTCATAAATCCAAGCTCATATTTGGATTCTACATGAAAATTTGTGTAGGATTGACTAAAAATCCTTATCGTTGGCGATCGCACTTGTCGCTAGCGCTTTAAATAAGTTACTAGTATTAACCTTATGTGGTATAGGAGCTAACCCCAGGTTGGTCTCTTGTGGAGTCAAAGCTTGGCTTTAAAACAACTTTTAAGTTGGGTTACATGATTAAAGAGGAATAACAAGTAGAAGAGAATGTTGATTTTAAATTAAGGTAAACACGAAAGTAAAGAGAACATAAAAATGAGAGATAGTAAATAAGAAAAACTCTACCAGTAAGATGAGCTTCCCAAGAATTGATGTGTGGCTATCCTGGTCTAAAAAGTTAATAAGAGTTTATAAAGAGAAGTGTACTAAGTCAAAATATAAACCCCAGGTAAACATGTAGTTCATAACTATTTAATTAATATCTATACCTAGAACTAGTGTATAAATATCAACTAAATAATTATTTTCAAAACCACTTAACATGTGAAATTCAATTACAATTATAATTTGTTCCTCAAAACAAGAATATTCAAATGATGTATTCTTGAAAAGTAAGCTAGCACTAAACTTAATTCATAACTATTAATGCAACCCTACAAATAACATATTAGAATAAGATGAAATAATCATGAGAGGAAAAAGGACTTATAAATAAGCTCACAAATTATAACTGAAAAAGAAATTCACATTAATAATCAAAAGAACTACATATAAGAGTTTCAAAACCTAAAACTAAGAAATCATAAAAGCTTACATATGAAAAATTAAAAACTCTAGTTACAACTTATCCAGATTAAATCATGGGACTCAAGCCACAACATCTCTCCTCAAGAACAAGAAGATTAGTCACTCATATGGCTAGAACACATCATATTGGTAAAGAAAGAAAACAAAAATATAGAGATGAAATAGAGAGAATTGGACACCTTAGTGAATGTTTGTGGGGAGTGTAGAGAGTAAGAAAAGAAGATGTGTCCTGTTCCTTGCCCTTGGACCTCTTTTTATAGCCTTGGTTGACCCCCTTCTTGCCTCCTTATAGGATAAAGATTATGATCTTTATTTTATCTGGACTATTGATCTTTGAATGATTTAGCCTCCTCATACCTTTCTTGATTTTTCATGATTATCTTCATACAATTCAAATAAATCCTAGGATAATCTATTTAAATATTACATATTTTGAATAAATTATACTATGCAAATAATCTAAAATAATCACCTAGGAAACTAAAATGATAGTAATTGAAAAATGTCAAAAGGATTGGACGGAAGAGGATAGGATTTTTATCTCTTGACTTAGTTTAGAAAATAAGTCATCAAATTGATATTTGAATTAAGATAAAAGATGACTTAAGTTGATTTGAATTAAGGTTTAGGATAATGAGAAGGTTAGTTGGCACAATGTGAAAAGTAGGAAGGGTGTAGGATAATTCAAATAATTAAAAAGGAAGACTTAGAGAGAAAGTAAGAGGATTTAGTAGGAGTTTTTCACTTATTCAAATATAGATTTAGGATGATAATTAATTTAAAGAAGATATTTTGGGATATTCTCTAACTAGATATTAACAATTCCTCCTTTAATTAATTTTACAATCCCAAAATTGCCTTTCATTAATGACGTAGCACTTTCTTTGACTTGATCAAAAAGAAAACCTTGTGAAATCACCTTCCTACCCTTCATTAATGGCGAGCCACATTTTTGAGCAACAGGGCCACGAAAGAGATGCTATTTAGACTTAAATGGAGGTGTTAGGCCCCATTTGAGATGTATACATGATAAGTTAACATGTATGGGCCCTAACTATGTTGTAAGTTGGCCTAGATGCATCCTTAAAGCTCTAAAATATATTGGTTCTTCAACACCTACGTTTTTTTCCAATCTGTTTGGACCCCAAAGCCCACCTTTCTTGATCCATTATCACCTTGTAATAGTGTCTTAAGTCTAGCTTAGATTCAAAGCTCCTAATTACCCTAAAACACACAAGAAAGTAGAAATACCTTTATGTAGATTAGTTTAACTAAGAAAACATAATAATTAGACCCATTTTAGCATTTATTTATATAATTTCTTGTTAGCTCAAATTATTGACACTTATTGCAATTAAGCCCTTGATTTATAATAAATCCCCAAAATATATATACAAATCTATGATAAAATAGGGATTCATCATTTGGTAAGTCAAGGGAGTCAAAGGAAAAGCAAGAGGAAAGCTTATGGTACAAGGTAGTGAACTTACTTATCTTATGTGCTTGATGTTTATGCTTGTTGTGTTGATTTGCATGATACTAATTGTGATGATATGAGCAATATATGAATGACGTATGTTCTGTCTGTTGATGATTTTATGGTTGTACATGTAGTTGGAGACATTAAGCATAAGATTAGATCACTAAATTGGCATAAAGATAATCAAGGAAGCATATCATACACTTGCATTCATCTTGCATATATTGATGGTATTGTTTGCTATTGAGATTCTTCTAAATCTCACCCCTCCCTTAACCAAGCATAGTAGGTCTAATAATGAGGAGGAAGCATGCATGAAGAAGGGTAAGAAGATGGAAGAGAAAAAGGTGGAGAATTCCTACGTATTAATATAGGATATAAACATGTGTAACGTTATGTGATGTAATGTGATGATGGCATGTATAATTGACTATGATGATATATGGGAATAGTTAATGGATTGAAGGAATGAGATTATGCATGCTTGAATTAAGGAAGAATTAAAAGTAAGAAGCTAATGAAAGATAAAATGTAGGTCCTGGAGCAGTGAGTTTGCAACTCCATTTTGACCTAGCAAATGATGGAATTTGGCCACAAAATTTGGTGATCCTATAGTACACATCCTAAGATTTAAAAGCATAGATAGTTTGCCTTAATTGGATGTGTATAATAGGATATACAAATTTTAAAAATTGAGGCAAAGAATCTAGAAGTTCCAGAATTGACCAAATAAACAACAAAGTTCAATGAATAAACTGTATGAATTGGTCAAGGATAA